CTACTACTACTACTACTACTACTACTACTACTACTACTACTACTACTTACTTCACGACGACTGCTACTACTACGACGACGACTACTACTACTAACTTCACGACGACAGCTACTACTACTGCTACTACTTCTACTAGTCATCATTTGCAAGATGACCCTCCAGAGCAATTTACATTTAGACGATACCTCCCCAAAAAAATGCCTATGGATTGAAAAGAACGATACCAATCCCAAAAGCGATACCTGCCTTAAAACTTCTCACCCAACAACCCCAAGTGTTGCCGCTTGCTATATATTATATATATATTGTTTGTTTTTAGATCCGTTAGGGCAAAGGCTCCGTGAACAGAAGTCATCATGGCGATCCTCCAAATCTTGCGCCTCATTGGCTTTCATGCGTGTGATTATAAATGCTTCCCGTTCGCGGAAAAACTCTGAGGCGGTGAAGTGGAGCTCCCAGAGCAGCCAGTTGCTCATTGCATGTAGCTCCTTCATTCCTGAGGCGCTGGGGCGCAGTGAAAGGCTTGACAGCATGTGTCGTGACAGCATTTGACCGCTAGAAATTTGAGTCTGGTTTTGTGAAAGTACGGTGTCAACCATTGGTTTTTGGCCAACCGTGGCCGACTCTATCACATCAATGCGTTGGGCCGCCCCCCATAACACAACGGGAATCCGTTCATCGCTATGTTCCAGGGTCAGGCCCTATTAATTGATAGGACCTACCATGTCCAACCATGCCAACCAATGTCCAACCTTCTGATGGGTTTTATGACCTCCGAACCAGTCGTGGGCGTACTTCTTTGGTGCCAGGCGCCCAACTTCGTGGAAGTGCTCTCTGTTGGTGTTGAGGGTCGAACGGAATCCTGGCAAAACACCGCGCGCCCCCAGACGCGCGAGCTTGAGCTCCTTATGCAGTCGGGATATCCGGGAGATGCCCTGACAATTGACACATCCTCAGATGTTCCTCGCTGTGGTTGTTATATGTTGTTTTCGACCTCCGGTGTGGCAGACGTAGCAATAACTGGGCAACTCTATTACTGTATTGATTTGTGATCTCCCTGTTCATGTTTAGTGGTGGGCGTGTCATATGAATGGTTTTAGACCAGCTCGAGTTGTGATCTTCGTTTTTGGTCTCTCAGGATGTGCAGGCCTCTCGACGTTTGCCGCACTACTACCCACCTACAAGGCGAAGCAAGGGTTCAGACGTGGAAGTTTGTTCCATGTGTCCTATTGTATGAAGGAGAGCCACACCTTGTGCAACTAAAGATGTGCCACAGGCGCACAAGCATGCGCAAGCTTTCACATAGTCCGACAGCAGGATTCTGACAGCTATGTCAGTTCTGCTTGCCGAACTGCAAAGGGCTTGGTCAAAGGTTGACACAAGTTTCCACGCGTTCCACGTTTGATCTGCCAGGGTCAGGTGGTTGTGTGGTGAACTCTTAGCCACCAGCGGAGACTGCCTTAGAGCCACAACCTCAGTGCGGTGAGTGATGCAAGTTCTTGGAGTGTAAATTGTAAACAATTGTAAACAAACGGTGGCCAGGTTCTCTTTTTGCTTATTGAAGATCAGACGACAAATGTGTTGAGAAGAGCTTGCTGTTGTCCTTGTTTTCTTCTTTGTTTTGTTTTAAAGGGGGAAGCCATTGGACAGTCCAGCTGTGTGGTTTCATACCTTTTGCTGCCTTATTGTCGAGCAATAGCTCGCGCACACGTCCAGTGTCAAAGTTTTACTTGAAAGAAGGGCCATTGACAAGCTTGTGGTGTAGACACTCACTGCTGTGAAACCATGAGAGCATCCTGCAAACTCTTTATCAAACAATCCTGCGGTTCACCACATGTTGCAACACACTTCTTGGGCCTCAGGCCACCAAGACAATTGCAAGGATATGTTACCACATGTGAGACTCTTTGATAGCAAAGACCTAGAGAAATCTCTCAATCTACACAAGGAAAGCAATGCAGGCTTTGCTGTTGGAAAGCAATAAGAACACTGGCTGTAATAAGAACCGGGGTGAAGTGTTCCTCGAGATCAGACTCCTAAAGCACTCCTTTAATGTTTGCGGCAATGGCCCCAAAACCCAAAACGAACGGCGACCGTCGCACGACCGAACCGCCGTGGGCGTGCGCTTTCGACGCCCCAGATCTGGAGCGCCGACGGTGAGCTCGCGCGTTTGCTGCGCTATGAGTCGAATCCACAGGAGCCGAGAGACGCGGCGTGTCGTGACGCGCGTGACGCGTGTTTTTCGCGGTGCGGGGTCAAAGTTTGCGGTTTTTGCAGGGGCGTGGTCCTGGTCCTGGTTTGGCAGGATTTTTTCGGAGAGAGCGAGTCTACTGAGACCATCATTGTACTTTTCCCTGATGTGTCTTATTTGCTGATATCATTTGATATATCATTGATCATGACTTTAGTTTCTTTTATCCTGAGATCTCAGGTTCGGATTGTTGAATTGATGCCAGGTATTTCAATTCTCTCCTTGCTTGCTTTTGCTCTCATACTTTGTGGCTTTGTGAACGACTGAGGTAGGGACACCCCCTCTACCCACCATGAGAACCGTTGGTTGCCATCATACCAATTGCCTTGTTTTGGGGGGGGAGGTGGGCATGATTGGGCATGAACCCGCGAAACTCAACACCCGCACCTGTCACATGTCACCTGTGGTCTGTTCCTGCTGCATCCTTTGTGAAAAGCACCATCACCGCCGTCGTTACTGTCGACCTCGCCGGTCCGATCACCGGATCGCTTCGTCACCGCGTCGCGGAGGCGAGGTGCACTCCGATCACCTCGGTGGATTCCTCCGAATCGCCCGGCCCCTGAAAAGCGGGGAAAAGCAAGGCTGGTGCGCTGGAAGATGATGGAACAGGCAGGTGGAGAGGTCATGCAAGCCAACAGAGCCGGCGGGACATGTTCTTCAAAACACATATTATATTGTGAGTTGTTTGTGACATTTTGTGACAAATTGTGACATATATAGTATTGCATATTGATTTAGGTAATTGACAATTTGTTCATTTGCAGATTGTGAAGCTGCCTCCTGAGGCCATGTAGCACTGCCACTGCGGGGGTACAGATGGCGAGCTTGCCTGAGAGCATTCCGTTGACAACATCTGAACGAGTTTTAGTGTGCTGCGGCCACAGCAAGACTTGATTCTCTATTCACGACTGCATTTGCTCCTTCGTAAAAACATATGCGGCAGAAAATCATTCAAAGTCTCACTGGGCGAACCGCCACTTGGAGAAGCTTTCCGCCAGACAGCAGCAGAGCTGAGGTCCTCGGACGTCTATGGCGTATGCGCCCTTTGGGATGTTGAAACTGGCACCATGCAGCAGGCCTAGGGCCCCTGCTCTTTGCGTTAGTCAGGTTCGCCTCATGTCACTGAAGCGCACGTGTTTCAAGCAAGCTCCTGATTGGAACTGGGATCAGGATGCTCATGCCAACCTCTGCCTGATTCACTGGCCACAGCTCAATCGTTGTGCCTGATTGGCAATCCTGATTGATTCAATAAAGATGTATTTGGCTCGCAACATGGGTATGTAATGTTCCGTGAACTGTTCGACTGCTCAATCCTCCTGCTACAAAAAAGGTATGGATGATGCTTAAATGACAATTCTGTTCCTGGTGTAAGGAACCGACTCCCTAATGGTCACCCTCTTTGTCTCTAAATGCAGAGTCGCCTGATCAATCAAGAATCAGCACAAGTGTCATCGGCAGTCAGTTTGTTCTAATCTTCGCTCCGTTGTCGCGAGATCTGACAATTCCACTCGACACTGAACACGCCGTTGAATCATCACGGCCACGCCGTTGGATACCGCCATCGGTGAGGCCTTTGATTTGGGTCAGCCGCTCTCTGATGTGGCCTTCGGCCCCAACAGGCGACGCGGGCGACGTGGTCCGCGGGCCAAGCGGGGCAGGGATTCGTCGGCGAGTGGTCAGAACTGAGAGAAAATGCTGCTGAGGGGTGAGTAAGTAAGACGCTTCTTGTGCAGTGATGCACTCTCTGTATTAAAAAACAACCAAAACATGTCAAATGTTTTGTTGTTTCAATGCAAGGTCTTTTCCAAGCCGCACATATGAGACATGAGATGACATGAGAATTGCAGCACTGTTGCAGCACGTTGGAGGCTTTTGGCTGCAGCTGGGGAGAACGGTGACTGTTTCCTCATGGATACAAGGCAATCAAAGGCACCGCCTGAGAGCCAGAAGTCTTGCAGCCCAAGAGTGTTGGAGCTACATGCGGCTAAGACTACTAGTAGCTTCTTATTCCCAGTAGTAAGGCCAGGAGCTACTAGTAGCGTCCTTGCTCCTAGTAGCGATGCCCTTTGTTCCTGGTAGCTTCTATTTTCATTCGATGGTGACGATAGAGTTGACTTGTTGATGTTTTCCTCTAAGCGCTTGATAAACTTCAGGTGTCCAATAGATCAGCCAGGGATCTCTCGCTGTGCTGAGTGAAGTTTGATTTTTGGGATTGAGATGTTGCCTTGCAAAGACTATAGGACTCTAGAAGTTCCAAAAATAGTGTCAGCTTGAAATAGCGCATTTTGCAGGATGTTGCAGTGTACTCGCCGGCCGAGCGGGTCAAGGGGCCAGCTCGAATCGCTTGGGGCGCCAGACACTTGGTTGAGGTTGCACGGTGGTTTCCGTGAGAAGGTTAGCAAAGCATTGAATCTAGCGTACAAGAATGTGTACAGGAAGACATATAATTATGTGTGGTCTTATCATCTTTACTAAAGAAGGGGTTCTGTGTTCCGCTGCATTAAAGAGGTTTTTAGAATTTGATCAACTTCTGGAACAGGCAACTGATATTTTCCTGCCAAGTTCGCAGCAGCTGTGTGGTTGCCTTTAGTATCCTTTAGTGTGCCTTTCTGTTTCCTCCATCTTCTTCGCTTTTGTTTTGCTCACAGATGACGTGGAATTAAATTAGAAGCGCAAGACTCATGTTTTGATATCGATGCTCAACCTTTGTCACGGAAAAATGAAGAACCCTGCATCCAGTGAGGGTTTGGTGTGCGTCCGACCTGTGATTGACCACCACAAGACTCCACAGCCCCATTGAAAGCTATGGAAGCTGCGCCCCGTGTTGTCGCCCCCAAAGCATTCATTGAACCATTTCTTGCCATGTTGTCGCTTCAGCATGGAGTCATGGCGTGGAGAAGAGGGGATGCTCGCAGGTGCTGAGTTGAGCGTGCCATCGTGAGATGAATGAGAAGCAGCATGCGACAATCGGAAATAATGGATTATAATGGCATTCAGAATCGATTCTGTAATGTCAATGTACTCCAAGTGTTGGGATTCCACTTGATTGGTACGTTTGACTGTATTCCTGTCTTCGACTCTGCGCCACCGGCTGTTCGTTTTTCATGTTCAGGTTGGTCCGTTACGCTGCCACAGCATTGCTCCTTACTTGGATGGGTGTGGATTTGGGTTGAGCAGCTGGAAATCGGTGGTTCTGTTTGCAGCGCTAGGGGTTGAGCAGCTGGAAATCGGTGTTTCTGTTTGCAGCGCTAGGGGTTGGCTATTGAGAGGCAGGTGTTTTCCCTTTGCTTTGGATGTACGAGCTACACTGTGCACCATTGTTGAGCCTTGGAATTTAGAAGGTCCGCAGCTCCTCGTGACATTCTAAGGAATGGGCTTGCCAAGGACCGGCCTTTGCTTGCTGTGGTACACAAGGGTTTGTTGTTCTATGCTTCAAATCATGAATTTTGGACAGATGCATCCTCACAGTACTGTGGTGTTTGCACACCCCACAGTTGTTTGTGCAAAGAATATCATTCCACGATGTTGAAATAGATTGAAACACATAGCTTAGGTGCCCTGAGTGTGATGTCCGGTTTAGGGTTTCTTTGCTTCAGCTTGTTTGTCTATGGAAGCAACAATTTGGACAATCTAAGAAGATCAGTGCTGCAAGTGTTTGTGATTGTTCCGAGCATGCTATGTGCAAGTGTTGCTACTCCTGAAGAGGTGAAGTCAATTTTGGCCGTGGCATCTGGCAAGGGTGGTGTGGGAAAGAGCTCGGCTTCTTGGCAATTTGTGGATTGACCATGATGGATCTCAAATGGGCATTGGCAAAACAGTTGTTCTATGCAGAACAAGATGTGTTTGTTGCCAAAGGTCATTCCCACCTTGTTGCAACCGCAATACCAAAGCCAAAGCATGAAGTGCAAGTACGGGAGCGTAATTTTCTTGGTGTGTATTTGTATATATATATATTAATATACACACATATGTGTGAAGGTTGTACTCTGAAGTATAGTTGAATACTAACACCCACCACTCAAGTTTGTGGCTCAGTTGACCGGCAGCTGTATGTGTTGTACCGAGGTTTGCGTGAATTTGGCCTTTACCATGCAAAGATACATGGGCCTCAAGGCGCAGCAAACCGTTTCACATGCTTGTGGCCTCAAAGGTTCGAATCACAAAGCACTCCAGGTGGGGGGGGTAACCTATTTTTGAGCCAGCGATGTTCGTTGGAGATCATATTTAGCCAACTCATCATGCGTTTAGTCGTGTCTAGTCGTTCTTTTCTTTCAGCCCATCGGACTGGCGAAGCCAGACCACCACGGTAACGGGACCATGAGACAGACAATCGGCCTGTCGCGGCATCAGTGTGGAGGTGGGAATTCTGGATAGCGACATCTATGGCCCCTCACTTCCATCGATGGTGCCGGAGAGTGTGGCAGAGAAGGTCTATGCATCTGAGAGTGGAGGACGCTCAGCTTGAAGAGGAGAAGACAGACAAAAGAAGGCTATGGAGTTGATCAGTGTCAGACCATGTCAATGATTCGAACAAACAAACTTGAAAGATCTTGAACGATGAGTTTGCCACCTTTGCCTTTGGGCCAACGTGTTGGGTTGCCAATTGGGTGTGTTTTCGGGGTCAAGGTTATTGAAAGCCTCTAAGCTGCAGCGGTGGTGCTGTGCCGTCTCACGGTCTCACTGCATTTGAGGTATTTTGCCTCTTCATTTCCAAGGCGCTGGGAGGGACATTTCTCAGTAATGATCTCAAACTCAATCCGAAGGTGCCCCACTTCAACCATCAAACATGTTCTGAACACGGTTCTGAAGGTGCCCTACGAGTATAGCATGTATCATGTTGCCATCGATATGTGTTGTGCGGCTTGGATGTGAGAACACATCGAATTGTTGCTATGTTGCTCAGTGCCACCACCCTACTACTACTACTATTACTACTACTACTACTACTACTGCTACTACTACTACTGCTACTACTACTGGCCCTGGCAGGAGTTCCCCTGATGTCGATGGGCTTCTTAAGACCAGGCCGGGTTTGGGGATTCGAGGCCGAGCTGAAGAAACCCACCACTCGGGAGAGCAACGGGGTGCTGTTTTTTCTTTACCCAGGATGCTCCAACACACCCAGGCTGCATCAGGGGCCGAACTCTTTGCAAAACATCTCACTTCTCCCCATGTGGATCGCACACTGGCTCCAGCTTTCACACAGCCACAGCTGTGGAACCACAACACGTTTGGGACTGGGCTCTTCGCGTGTGTGTGTGTGTGTGAAGCTGGCCATAGTGCCGATGTCGAAGGTTGAGGGACAAACAGCAAATCGTGCAAGACACTGACCAAGCTTGACCAGGTACTACTGTACTTTATGTTTGCATTTTACTCAGTCCCTACCTGGCGCGGCTTCTACAGACCATGTCCACCATTCCTCAAACATAATCTTTCCAGCTGCCGCCAAGTCGCTTCCGGATGCTTCGCAGGTGAACATGCCGCCATCCGAGGGCCGATGGCATCCTCTATGGTAAGGCAAATGTTGACGACCACAGAGCTTCTTGGGAACAATAGCTGCTGAACGACGCGTTGGTAAAGATAGAACTGCAGTAATTAAATCAAGAGGGGCTTAAAGGATCGTTTGTGTGGAATTGAATCAACATATAGTCTCAGCAGGTGGAAGCTCATTGAGTTTGCACAGAACCCACGTTTGTTTTTCCTCAAACAGTTTACTGTTGGGGGTCTCTCTTAGGAAGAAAGACACTGGCCACAGTCTCTGGCCGCACCCCTGAGTGGTCCTGCTTTTATCCGCTCCGCCTGCTGTCCTCTGGCTGCGGCGAACTTGTCCTCCTGCTGTCCTCGTGCCTCGTGCCGCGCACACGAACCATGTGTCCTCCTCTTGTGCTCTTTGCTCTCAGATGTGCTTTGTGTGAAGGAGCCGGGCCCGCCGAAAGGCCGCGACGAACTCGCGTTGCCCCACAAGCGTCGACCGATGCCGTGAGTGAAACAAACAAATAAACCCCTTGTGCTCTTGGTGTTCTCCTGCTGTGCTACCCTGTGTGTCCTCCTCTAATCCTCCTGCTTTAGCCGGGCTGGCGAGCCCTGTGTCCTCGTGGTGTCCTGCTGTTCTCGCGCCAAGCTTGCGAGCCCTTGGTCGTGCACTGGTGATGATAGCGCCCCAGCCCCTGCCTCGGAAAGCAAAGTAAACAGCACAGCAGCAGAAGGACCAGAGAAGGCCACGAGGAGGACAACAGAGGGCAAAAGGATGAGGTACTGTAAGGATAACCACGAACACACCAAGAGGACAAAAGAAGGACAAACTGCGGGCAGACAACGAAGGGATCCAACGCGAGGAAGCAATTGCACACGTGCAAGCAGAGACTGTGGCCAGCTTTTATTTCGTAAGAGAGAACCTCGGCAGTAAAACTGTTTGGAAGAAAAAACTGAAACTGTTTGGGGGTCTATGCTGGCATAATTCTGATCCTTACCAAGTCCCAGGAGAACGTTTATCTCACAAGTCCCCGGCCGCCGCTCAGGTGGGGTGAGCTAGACGTTCTCCTGGTTGATTTGCCACCTGGGACTGGTGACATCCATCTCACCGTGGCCCAACAGGCAAATGCTCGGAGGAACCAACAAAGATATAGGCCATCATCAAGCACGCGTTTGATTTAATAATGTGTTTTCAATGTATAGAACTTCTACGATAAGACACTTTACAGTATAATGTTATATGTTTATATACACAATATGGTGACATTTGGAGTAAAGATTGCTCCGGTCTCGTCGGCAACCCCTGTGAATCCCTGTGATGGGTTGAAATCTGATAGGGCCTAATCTAAGGGAACCAGGCTGCCGAATTCTGTTGCAGATGTTGCTCGGGGGGGAATCCACCCGCCTGACATTGATTTCTTGGAACATCCACACTGCAAGGCGTTTCGTCGGTGCGCAGGCGGCGATCGATGCGGCCATCGTGGTGACCACACCGCAGCAGCTCAGCCTGGTGGATGTGGAGAAGGGCATCCGTGCCTTGGGCAAGGCATCGGAGTGAGATGGACACGGCTGTAAACTTGGCCAACCCGAGACCTGGCGATGAGAAACATCCATGAATTGTTTTTTTGCACGTGTCACGCAGACACGGCGGAAGGGTTTGAGGCGGCTCAATGGTGTTGTAACCGTAGATAGGTTTTGAGATCACGAAAGCGAGCTCAGAAGGAGCTCAGCGGAAGTTGTTGTTTACGAAATATGGTGAGGCTCAAAATTGAAAGGTTCGGTGAACTAATTTATTCTTTCAATTAAAGGGAGGGGTCAGCCGAGGGGGGGAGGCCCCTTCCTTTTTATTGATTCTTTCAACAACCCCCCCCTCCTCGCAAAGGAATTTATATTTCAATTGCAGATTGAAACGTCTAAGGGGGGGGCGGCCCCCCCCTGTAAAGTGATTTGAAAGAATCTATTCGACTCCTCCCTCGTCCTTGTGAGAAAGCATACCAAATGCCTAAAAAAGACAATATGAAAGTCGATGTGTTTTTTCAGTGTTCGGTTGACTCAGCCAACAACACTTTGCGCTCGTGGCACGAAAGCGTTGCGTTGCTGCCCACCCTCCGCATCCCCTTGATCCTTCCACACCCCTCGCTTTCGTCCCCACTGTCCTCAAGTGATCTTTGCGTATGGGAAACAACATGAAACAATTGTTTGTTCGTCCACAAATTCCATTTTGCTTTGAACCTGCTTTCGTCCCGAGCGGAGTGACCCGCAGAGCTCGGCCATTTGAGTCAAGAAGATCACACAATCTACGCTGTTGCGGCGACCGAGGCATGTTTGATCAGGCGGGACTTGCATGTGTCGCGGCCGTACAGACAAGGGCATTGAACATTCAGGAACATTCAGGCAACACTCACTTTTGACCCTCTTTGGTTGGTCTTGATATTTGGCCGTATCCACATTTATTTGAGACTGGCAAAGCTGGCAGCATGCACAATGCCTACACAGGTCAAAATTCCGACTGTGGCAATCGTGGAGAATATGTCTTTCTTTCTCTGCGATGGATGCGACAAGAGGCATGAGATTTTTCAATCTGGCTCTGGTGTGCCTTGCCCTGCAGATTTTGCTGACTTTTGTTGTCTCTTTAAAGGCTTGTTTGTAAAGCGCTTTCCCTCTGTCAAACAGTTACGAAGTGAGTACCGGATGGTTGATCTAAGGATCTCAAGACATTGGAATAGTATTTTTGTTCGTGCAGTTTTCAAGGGACTATACGACTATACATGATTATCCTACAAGTGGTAGATCAAATCCTTGATTGTTTCTTGTAACTGTGGAGTTGTGGCTGAGCTATTGACTTGAGCAACTGCGAGCAACTGAACGGGATCGTTGATGTTTTCTTTTTTTTTAAACGAACTCAGGAGGCATTGGCCAGAAACTTTGGGATTCAACGGTTCTTCCGCCTGCCTTTGACCTCAACAATGTCTCGTCCAGGACACGGGAATTGAGCCATGTCGTTGTTGGGGTGGGTCCCAACATGCAAAATCCGGGCGATTTCTTTTGCAGCATTGCTAAATACTAAATGGAATGAAGACATCTAACAAATCCTATTGAAGAGACATTTGCGATGCAGCATGCTCCTCAAGCTCTATGGTTGTTAACTATATATATATATATGTCCTTCCCGCTTGCTTGATTGGAGGAATGCCTTTCGTTCTCACTGACGATGCTGCGAGTCATTTGGTCGCCGAATATCAGCGCCTGGCCCAAGAAGCTCAAGCAGCAGTTCGGGAACTTCAAGGCGGCCGGAACCACATCGGAACTGGGAGGATTGCAGTGCCACAGTGCTGTTTTCTGGTGATTTTTGTCATGACTAGTAAGTAAGGGAAAAACCTCCAACCCCCTGCATGTACAGTACTACATGATCTAACGGTTGAACTTGCTGTTTTCAATTTGCACTTGCAAAGCTTCCCCGCATGTTCTAACAACCAAGATCCTTTGATTGGGTCCCGCCATGCACTCGCATGACCCGTACCAACTAATACTATCCAAATTAATAACAATATCGGCCACCAACTTATATGTAGACTTGCTATAATACAATTGAAGTAAAACTTCTCAACCACCCAGAAACGTGGGTGATGGGTTCAAACCGTGAGAACAAGGATGGAACATCATGAACATCCTCAATGGGAGTGTTGCTCTTCGTGGAAAGACGTAAGTCGCCAGCTTCAGCCGACTCGGACAGTCGCACCACTTGAGCTGCCACCCACCACATGAGGCTCCTTTCGGCCACGGTTGCGGTCGGAAGTGGCGGGTGCAGTGCTGATCTTGCAGTTGGAGGATGGGGAGTTTGCCCTGCCTGCGCGAGACGTGCTGTTGGAGTGCCGTTCTGCTGCTGGGCCCAAAACGGGGACGTTTCGAAACGTCGCATTTTCAGTGTTTGAGAATTCATGGGCCTTCTTTCTTTGTTGTCCTTTTTTTGTCATTGACTGAAAGGGTCTGACATGGTCATTGCCTCCTGTGTGCACGGTTTCTCTCTCGGCGGTTTGGCTAGCTTGAGGCCAAGATGCGAGATGAACTCTCTGGTCGGAAGTTGTTTCGTGAGGAGGAGATTCCTCAGAACGTGGTGGCACAGGATCCGCGGTGAAGAACGTGGTCGTTGTGGCGCCGTTGCTGTTGTTTCCCTGATTTTCTGCAGTAGACTCGAGAAACAGGATGAGGAGAAGAACACTTGCTAATAACTTTTCTTGAAGGCCAGTCATAAGTCGCCTTTCAAAGCTTGATTTGCACTTATTTTACATGTTTACATTTGATTTTTATCAAATGGCGTAGTTATTTGTTCTAGGAATTTCACTTCACTCTAAAGTGCAGTGTAGCGTGGCCTTCCAAAAAGCACCCTTACTGATCCTCACTGCAATTGTTTCAGAGCAAGGCCTCACCAAAATGAGCAGCCAGTTGAAATTTATAGAAAGGTTGAACACAAAGATGTTGCGGTACATACGAACGGGTTCTGTTTGGCCCTTGAATGCTGGAGGACTAAATGAGGAAACTGCCAAAGCAGAGGATCACAAAGAGCATGCTTGTAGCATTACACCAGAAATCACCATGCAGAACTTCACTATGACTATGCTCCACTCGCAGCTTCTATCCACCACAAATAGCTTTGTACAGCTGCAGATCACTCTCATACTCTTACTTGAATATGGTTCAAACATAAGAAACTAAGAAAGACATGTGATGAACATCAATGTTAATGCATGTTGATGCACATTGTTTGCAACAATGTTTCATAGATACATGAATGCTGACAATCCCTTCGTGCTCTCTCTTCCCTCAGCATCCAGGAGCTGCAAACGGCCGGGCGCTATGCCATGTATATCCTGTGGTCCAACCAACACCGTTCACTGTTTTCCTTCGAGCATTTGAAAGAGATTGCCAGGACCAAAGGACAGGTTTGGGGCAAAGAAAATTGACCGGCTGAGAGTGACTCAGTGAAGCAGTGAAGTGTTTATAGTGGGGCTTGCCATGTCCCAGCGCCCACAATGAACTGTTTGTAGTTTGCCGTAGTTTTGAATGTGCTGCCCGGGGTTATCCTGCTAAAGCGTCCATTTGGCCGACGTGAAGTGGCGTTGGTCGCCCCGGAAAAAGCCGCACGAAAAAGCCTCCGCACCGACCATGATCCGTTTCGTCGAGTCGTAGACTACGACTTTCTTGATGCCCACACTCATTCCGCCTCGCTTTATGGTGAATTGCCACCAAGTTGACACTATTCACCCAGCTTTATGAGAGCCATGAGGAATCATAAAGCTTCACTTCGACAGCTTTTGCGATTTCCACCTTGTTCTCCCAAGTCCTTTCGCCTCCCCCTTTGCACCATATTCAGCCCGCTCCCGAGGTGCACAGACCAGACATTTTCGCTGTGTCCTGGCAGGGTGAGGACGGAGACGGACCAGCGCAAGACGGATCAAGCGATAAAGCACAAGTCACAGGACCGATACCACGTCAGATTTATGACTCACTGCAGCGGAGGTGTCCTAATCAACTCCCATCAGCTTCTTGTTTATGGATCCT